TGCCTCTGCAAGTCATAGCAGTAACTGTCAGTTTTGTAATCTTTGCAATGCCTCATGGGAAATGTAGTTCCACAACAGCTAGAGAGCAGAAGGTTGCCTAGGCGATCGGAGGCGGAAGTTGTCCTCCCTCCCTCCCCGTAGTCTTCTGGGACACGTGACAAGTCCCTGAAGACTACGGGGCCATTCACAAAGCACAGCGCTTCTCGCGCATGCGCAGTGGGAACCTGGCTGTGAAGCCGCAAGCTGTCACAGTCGGGTGCCCACACTAAAGATGCCGGTGCCAGGGAGAGAGGAAGCTCGGTGAAACCAGCTGTGGTGAGGACAACCGCTGGACCGAGAGACAGGTAAGTGTCTGTATTTTAAAACTCAAAAACTACAGTTTTGGTAGCTGCTTTTTTTATCAGCTTTAACCACTTCCAGTCCGACACTTTCCCCCCCTTCCAGTCCGGACACTTTCACCCCCTTCCAGTCCGGACACTTTCACCCCCTTCCAGTCCGGACACTTTCACCCCCTTCCAGTCCAGACACTTTCACCCCCTTCCAGTCGGGACACTTTCACCCCCTTCCAGTCGGGACACTTTCACCCCCTTCCAGTCCGGACACTTTCAGCCCCTTCCGGTCCGGACACTTTCAGCCCCTTCCGGTCCGGACACTTTCAGCCCCTTCCGGTCCGGACACTTTCAACCCCCCTTCCGGTCCGGACACTTCCCCCCCCCTTCCGGTCCGGACACTTTCCCCCCCCCTTCCGGTCCGGACACTTTCCCCCCCCCCTTCCGGTCCGGACACTTTCCCCCCCCCCTTCCGGTCCAGACACTTTCCCCCCCCCCTTCCGGTCCGGACACTTTCCCCCCCCCCCTTCCGGTCCGGACACTTCCCCCCCCCCTTTCCGGTCCGGACACTTTCCCCCCCCTTCCGGTCCGGACACTTTCCCCCCCCCCCTTCCGGTCCGGACACTTTCCCCCCCCCTTCCGGTCCGGACACTTTCCCCCCCCTTCCGGTCCGGACACTTTCACCCCCTTCCGGTCCGGACACTTTTAGCCCCTTCCTGTCCAGGCCCAATTTTCAGCTTTCAGCGCGATCACACTTTGAATGACAATTGCGCGGTCATGCAACACTGTACCCATATGAATTTTTTTAGCTTTTTTTGAGACAGATAACTTTTTTTTTGGTAGTATTTCTTTACCGCTGGGATTTTTATTTTTTTTTGCTATATAAATTAAAAAGTCCAAAAATTTTGAAAAAAAGTGTTTTTTTCCTTTAAACCTTTGCAAATAAATAGTATTTCATCATAAATCTTGGCCAAAAATTATTCCGTTATCTTTTTAGTAAACTGTCACCCTAGCAGTACAGTGTCACCATGGTGACTTGTGGGGGGGGGGGGGGGGGGTGATGAAGATTTTTTCTTTTTTTACACCGATTGCTTTTACACCCATAAAGGCTGTAAAAGCAATCATTTCTCCTTCTCTCTGGCTGTTGTGAATAGCCTTGTCCCATGTGACCTCTGTGATCATTCACAATCCCAATCCCAATCATTTCTCCTCTCTGGCTGCATTCTTGCAGCCATTGAGAACTACTGAGTGAGCTGTGATTGGTCACAGCTTGTCACATGGTACAAGGCTGTTGTGAATAGCCTTGTACCATGTGATCTCTATGATCATTCACAGATTTCACACGTAGGAAGCAATGATGTCACAAGTGACATCTCGCTTACTACTCTGTGTGTGATCACTGATTGGCCAATCAGGGATCACATGATCAGGACCTCGTACATAGGTCCCATCCGACGATCGGTGTTCCACTGTGGAACACAGGGGCACAGCGGGCACCGGATCACGGTGCTGCGCGCTCCCAGGGAGCGCGCACAAGCAGGGTGCGAGGAGGCCGTTTATAAACGACCACCCATCCCTGCACTGGCACCGTCTCGCCGTTTATATACAACGGCCGGACGGGAGGTGGTTAATGTCACCGATCCTCTTTATGTATCTCGCCTTCTGTGTTGCTGCTGAGGAGATCCACCAACTCCATTTGTCTGTTATCAGGAGGACACAAAGTGATGGAAAAATCCAATAGTTGGCCACTGAAATGGTAAGTGGCAACAGGGAAACTGGGGACATTTTATGAAGGGGAATTTTTCCTATGACGTCTTCAGGACACCTAGTACCTAGGAGGTACACATACAGTCATGGCTTTTCAAAACTCTCCTGTCAAGGCCAAAACCAAGCTTCAGCGTTTCCCGATACTACTGGGGCTTGTCTGTCCCTTCCTACCACTGACACTCTACTGACTATACAGGTTTCCCATAATAGGTAAAGACAGAATTACCTACTACCTGGAAGTGTCACACCTTCACCTATCTTTTTTTCTTTTCTCTACAACAGGGCTGTAAAGGTATTATGTCCATCAATCAGTCCACACAAGAAGTTTAACCCCTTCACTCCTGAGGGTAAAACCAATCTAAATGCCTAAGCACAATTCTGCAACGTTGACACGTGTTAGTAAAACCATCCATATCATCACAACTACTTCGTACATCCAGGTGGATTATACCGCGATTTTTTCAGGAGAAATTGGGCTTTCATTTGGTGGTAAATGGTAATGGATAGTTTCTGATTTTTTTTTTTATATCAAAGGAAAACTGGCCCAAAATAGCCAGGGTGGATAAAAATCAATGATTTTTTTAAACAAAATAAAAAAAAAAAAATCAGATTTTTTTTTTTGATTTAAATCGGATTTTTTTTTATTTAAATCGGATTTTTTTTTAAATAAAATGCTTTTTGAGGAAAATATATTACCATCCAAAGGTTATTTCATCATGAAATAAAGATTAGTTTTTTAATTATGTAGAATAAGGCTGTATAGGTTTTTTTTTTGGTAAATAAATTCCATGAATCCATTCACAATGTCAGGCTCTTCCAAGGTTTCTGTAAGATTATTGGGCAGTTTCTCTGCCTACAAGATATTATCACAGATGTTGGTTTACTTTTGCAGTTCTCAAAACTGAATTGGACTCAGCGGAGATCACAGGCCTCTTCTTCACAGCAAAAATGTTATAAAATGAACAGAGTTAAGAAAAAGACCTTCATCCTAACTTCTACAAACCTATGAATACAGAATCAACCCCTTCAGTGCTAAGGTGCAAGAAGTTCAGTGAATAGAATAGAAACAATATTTTTCTGATTGTTTGGAGTGGAATAGATCTGCACAAGAAGAAAGTGAGACTAAGTGTGAGGAGGGAGGGAGGGGCCGACAGTGAGGAGGGAGGAGGGAGGGGCCCGACAGTGTGAGGAGGGAGGGGCCGACAGTGTGAGGAGGGAGGGGCCGACAGTGTGAGGAGGGAGGGGCCGACAGTGCGAGGAGGGAGGGGCTGACAGTCTAAGTTTCTTAAAATATATATATTTTGTTTAGCCAAATTAGTTACCAAACATGGATGTTTAAGCAGATAACATATGCTGGAATGTTATTGTTTCAGTTTAATAAATCTATTTAAATTGTTATTATTAAGGTAATGATTATTTTTCTCCTTCCTAAGTACAACAGAAAAGTTGTCCAAATATGAATGATTAACCTATTAAACTGGGGATAAAAAAACTAATATGAAAAGTTGTTATTCTAAAAATCTTCATTTACTTGTATATTAAAGTTATACCAGCAAGAATTAGTCTTTATGTAGAAAACTAGGATTTAAATCAAGCCTTACTGACTAGTGATTTAAATCGGGATTTAAATCAGGATTTAAATCAGTTTGATTTAAATCAAATCCACCCTGAAAATAGCTAAATAAAAAAGTTTTTGTTTTTACTGTGTGTTTTCTTGTTACTACCAAAACCTACCACCAAAGAACAACCCAAAATAAATTTTACAACTCTCGACAATCGCAGCGATACCATGTGTATGTTATATGTTGTCTGTAGCTGTAGTACAGCCCAGAAACAACACTGTGCATTTTGTTTTGTCTTTTTTTTTTTTTTTTTACCTAAAACACACTGACACCATTTTTTTTTTAAATCCTGACCTTTGACCCAAACACTAACCCTGGCACTGAACTAGATCAAAACTTGATCTAGGTATTTTTCTTTATTTTTTTTCAGATTTATTTATTTTTCTTTTTTTTTTTTTTACAAATTGTTTTTTTCTCTCTATGCCAGGAGTTAGAGAGATACAAAGTATCTCTCTTCTCCATTCATAGAGAGCAAGGGGGCTGGGCTGTACAGTGACTGATCACTGTGATAGCCAATCAAAGGCTATCGCAGCGATCATGTGACCCGGAATTGGGAGTCCCGGTTCCCGATCATTAGAACGGTACTCAGGGTCTCAGTGACACCGCGGTCTTTGTGCTGAGAGGATTAATAACAATATAAAACAGTGCGGCGCTCAAACAGACAATATAAATATTCATATAAATATTTCATCAAATTGCATGCTCTTATATTATCCTTCCTCCATATATTACATGGCCAAAACAACCATAACACATGTAGGGGAGATAAACTATAGGCTGGTGATGTTACACACTCAAAAAAACTTCTCATGCACTATAGTGACTTGAAAACATAGTATAGTGAATAGTGTCCATGTGCATAGAATTTCATGCGGATGTGAACTGCAAGTGCCAATCCTCAAAATAGGTGGAGTGCCCCCTCACCTTCCTGCCCAGGCCCCTAGGGACCAATGAGCCTTTTAATATGTAGTAGATCTTTCTCCTGGAGTTGGATGGGTCCTTCAAACAATGATGGTGGGACTCCCTTCCTCTTGTCTCTATCTCGAATCGTTGGTGGTATAGGTATATACCCCTCCCTTTGTGCTGAGAGCGCGCCGCCCAGAACAAAGACAAGTAGGCAAATATACGGCCCCACGGAAAAAAGCCCAGTTCTGTGAGGCCGCATATTTGTGTGACGTCGGCGTCAAGGAGTTAGATTCTGGAAGATTAAAAAGAAAGTGAAAACACGGGAGTAATATGAAACAATAACATTTTATTTGGAGATAGGGAGCTGACAAAGGGGTTAGCGGTGTTTCCCATAGTGGTTAAACCTCTTGTACAAGAAGCGGATCCTCTTGTTCAGGTTGTGTCTGTCCTCATAGAACATTCTGTTTCCAACCATCATCTTCTTCCTTATGCACCTCTGTAACTCATTTCCCTTCCAGCCTCGCAGCCACGAGGGTCCTATGATCAGCTGGTGGGGGTGGGCTTTAAAGTCACCTGTAATAAAAAGAACAAGAGTGACTCCATTCTTCTCCCAGCACAAAGATAGGTACGCAAATATGGGGCCCCCCCCCCCCTTTAAGCGAAAAAAAGCCCAGTTTCCAGAGGCCGCACAAGTGTGTTATGTCGGCGTCAAGGGGTTAAGGCTAACTTCACGTATTCTTTCCATAGGTCTTAAGCTGGCCATAAATGGATCGATATTTGATGTATAGCAGTTCCCTTTCAACAGAAGTCAATCTAATAATCGAACAGGAATGTTGGAAAACGTTTGTCGATCTGCAGTTGTAGCGGAACCCCCACTGTCAATATGCAATAGCACAGCGGGGAGGGTGACTCCATTCACCTCACTTGTGTGGATGGGGAACCCATTCATGGGGTTTTTTTTTTTTTTCCCAACTGGCTCAGTTATATTTGAATTGACTTTTGTCAAGTTGGGTTGTACCAACAGTGCCGCCAATGGCTCAGATTTCAGCTGATGCATTAGAAAGCAGTTGAAATTCAAGCTGTGTTTGGCTAGCTTAACCACTTCCAGTCCGGACACTTTTACCCCCTTCCAGTCCGGACACTTTCCCCCCCTTCCAGTCCGGACACTTTCCCCCCCTTCCAGTCCGGACACTTTCCCCCCCTTCCAGTCCGGACACTTTCCCCCCCTTCCAGTCCGGACACTTTCACCCCCTTCCAGTCCGGACCCCCCCCCTTCCAGTCCGGACACTTTCCCCCCCTTCCAGTCCGGACACTTTCACCCCCTTCCAGTCCGGACACTTTCCCCCCCTTCCAGTCCGGACACTTTCACCCCCTTCCAGTCCGGACACTTTCACCCCCTTCCAGTCCGGACACTTTCCCCCCCTTCCAGTCCGGACACTTTCCCCCCCTTCCAGTCCGGACACTTTCACCCCCTTCCAGTCCGGACACTTTCCCCCCCTTCCAGTCCGGACACTTTCCCCCCCTTCCAGTCCGGACACTTTCACCCCCCTTCCAGTCCGGACACTTTCCCCCCCTTCCAGTCCGGACACTTTCACCCCCTTCCAGTCCGGACACTTTCCCCCCCTTCCAGTCCGGACACTTTCACCCCCTTCCAGTCCGGACACTTTCATCCCCTTCCAGTCCGGACACTTTCTCCCCCTTCCAGTCCGGACACTTTCACCCCCTTCCTGTCCGGACACTTTCACCCCCTTCCTGTCCGGACACTTTCTCCCCCCTTCCAGTCCGGACACTTTCTCCCCCCCCTTCCAGTCCGGACACTTTCTCTCCCCTTCCCCGGACACTTTCTCCCCCCTTCCAGTCCGGACACTTTCTCCCCCCTTCCAGTCCGGACACTTTCTCCCCCCTTCCAGTCCGGACACTTTCTCCCCCTTCCAGTCCGGACACTTTCTCCCCCTTCCAGTCCGGACACTTTCTCCCCCTTCCAGTCCGGACACTTTCTCCCCCTTCCAGTCCGGACACTTTCTCCCCCTTCCAGTCCGGACACTTTCCCCCCCTTCCAGTCCGGACACTTTCCCCCCCTTCCAGTCCGGACACTTTCTCCCCCTTCCAGTCCGGACACTCTTCCCCCCCTTCCAGTCCGGATACTTTTCCCCCCCCTTCCGGTCCGGACACTTCCCCCCCCCCTTCCAGTCCGGACACTCCCCCCCCCCCCCCCCACTTCCAGTCCGGACACTTTCCCCCCCCCCCCCTTCCAGTCCGGACACTTTCCCCCCCCCCCTTCCAGTCCGGACACTTTCACCCCCTTCCAGTCCGGACACTTTCACCCCCTTCCAGTCCAGGACAATTTTCAGCTTTCAGCGCTATCACACTTTGAATGACAATTGCGCGGTCATGCAACACTGTACCCATATGAAATTTTTTAGGATATTTTTGAGACAGATAAAACTTTATTTTGGTGGTATTTATTCACCGCTGGGATTTTTTTTTTTTTTGCTATGTAAATTAAAAAGTCCAAAAATTTTGAAAAAAAGTGTTTCTTATAAAATTTTGCAAATAAATAATATCATAAATCTTGCCCAAAATGTATTCCGTTATATTTTTAGTAAAAAAAAATTAACCCAAATTAGTTTAACACAAAAATTATAATTTTTAAACATTTTTTTATATATATTTTTTTTTTATTTATTATTTTTTTTTTTACATACTGTCACCTTAGCAGTACAGTGTCATAACGGTGACACTGTACTACTTGTGGGGGGCGATAAAGATTTTTTTATTTTTTTACACTGATTGCTTTTACATCCATAAAGGATGTAAAAGCAATCATTTCTCCTTCTCTCTAGCTGCAGTCTTGCAGCCATTGAGAACTACTGAGTGAGCTGTGATTGGTCACATGGTACAGGGGGGTTGTGAATAGCCCTGTACCATGTGATCTCTGTAATCATTCACAGATTTCACACGTAGTAAGCAATGATGTCACAAGTGACATCATTGCTTACTACTCTGCATGTGATCACTGATTGGCCAATCAGTGATCACATGATCAGGACCTCACACAGAGGTCCCGTCTGAGGATCGGTGTTCCACTGTGTCTGTAGGACACAGCAGGCACCGGATCGCGGTGCTGCGCGCTCCCAGGGAGCGCGCACAAGCAGGGTGCGGGGAGGCCGAATATAAATGGCCACCCAACCCTGCACTGCCACCCTCCGGCCGTTTATATACAACGGCCGGACGGGAGGTGGGTAAGGGCTCATTCACACTTTACTTTATCTCTAACTCTTGCCAAATGCCCCTATAGCTTTAGACAGGCGTTTGTGAAGCATTTTTAGCGCTCCTCAAATGCTCGCAAAACGCCTTATGTGCGGTTTTGAGGCGGTTAATAGGCGTTTGCCAAGCGTTAAAACCACACTACAAACTGAAGTTAAATGGTATTAACACTCCGCAACCGCGTCACAAAACCGAAAACGCCTGGCAGGCACCATAGACTTGAATGGGAGGCTTCAACTCCTCCTGACTGGACACAAGGTGTCAGTTTTGCCGCGACGCTAATGCTTCCCTGTGAACAGCACTGTGTGCTGCCTTGTGCAGAAGTTTCAAAGACCTTTGAGAAGCGTTAAAAACGCTTCCCAAATGCCTGTCTGACACCTGCTGACGAAGCTAGTGTGAACGTAGCCTAAGAATGACAAGTCTGGCATGCAAAATCCATATTGCAGGAGCATACTGACCATATGGGGGCATGAGAGGGAAAAAATATATAATCCACAAACATATAGCATAGGGATGCACCGGCGCCGATACCGCGTATCTTCGCATGTACTTGTGAAAATGCAACCAATACCGGAAACTGATACTTTGCGGTGCAATTTGTGTCAATACAGATTGCACTGCAAAGATTAGCATGCGATTAGAAAAGGAATGAGATTTCTGTCCATATCGCATGCAGTGTCCCCACTGCTCCTGTGTGAACCCAGACTTGTCATAGCCCCGAGTCCACACAGGAGAGGTGCGGGGGAAACCTCCCCTACAGGGATTCAATGCTGGGTGGAGAGTGAGGATGTATACTATGGAGGCAGATGCTCCATCACCAGACATGTGAAGCAGCTTTCTCTCCTCGTCTTGCAGCAATGACAGTATGGGCTAGATAGCATCTGATTAGTCAGCATGTGACGGTGCTGACCAATCAAAAACCCTCTAGCCTGAACTGTCATGCCTGCAAGAAGAGGAGAGAAAGCGACGGGGATTTCAAATCCTCCCGCTGCTTTCTCTCCTCTCCTACCACTAAGAATATGAAGATCTTCCACCATGGTATACAGTGAAGGAAATGCGTATTTGCTCCCCGCTGATGTTGAATGTTCGCCCCTCACAAAGAAATGATCGGTCTAAAAATCGAATGTTCTGTGTATTGTAACACTGAGAGACAGAATACAACAACAAATTCAGCAGAAATGCGTCTAACAAATGATGACTGATCTGCATGTTCATGAGGGAAATAAGTATTTGATCCCCTATCATTCAGCAGGATTTCTGGCTACCAGGTGTCTTTCATACAGGTAACAAGCTGAGATTAGAAGAAGTCTCTTAAAGGGAGTGCTGCTAATCTCATTTTGTTACCTGTATAAAAAACACCTGTCCACAGGAGCAATCAAACCATCAAATTCCAAACTCTTCACCATGGCAAAGACCAAAGAGCTGTCCAAGGATGTCAGGGACAAGATGGTAGACCTACACAAGGCTGGACTGGGCTACCAAACTATGGCCAAGCAGCTTGGTGAGAAGGTGACAACAGTTGGTGCAATCATTCACAAATGAAAGAAACACAAAACAAGTGTCAGTCTCCCTAGGTCTGGTGCACCATGCAAGATCTCACCTCGTGGAGTGTCAATGATCATGAGAACAGTGAGGAATCATCCCAGAACTACACGTGAGGATCTTGTCAATGATCTCCAGGCAGCTGGGACCACAGTCACCACGAAAACAATTGGTAACACACTACGCCGACAAGGACTGAAATCCTGCAGTGCCCGCAAGGTCCCTCTGACAAGAAAGCACATGTCCAGGCCGTCTGAAGTCTGCCACTGAACATCTGAATGATACAGAGGAGGACTGGTTGGGAAAGTGTTGTGGTCAGATGAGACCAAAATCCAGCTCTTTGGCATCAACTCAACTCGCCGTGTTTGGAGGAGGAGGAATGCTGCCTATGACCCCAAGAACACCATCCCAACTGTGAAACATGGTGGTGGAAACATTCTGCATTGGGGTGTTTTTCTGCTAAGGGGACAGGACAACTGCACCGCATCAAAGGGACGATGGACGGGGCAATGTACCATCAAATCTTGGGTGAGAACCTTCTTCCCTCAGCCAGAATATTGAAAATGGGTGGTGGATGGGTGTTCCAGCATGACAATGACCCAAAACACACGGCCAAGGCAACAAAGGAGTGGCTCAAGAAGAAGCACATTAAGGTCCTGGAGTGGCCTAGCCAGTCTCCAGACCTTAATCCGATTGAAAATCTGTGGAGGAGCTGAAAGTTCGAGTTGCCAAACGTCAACCACCAAAACCTTAATGACTTGGAG